CTCTCTCTCTCTCTCTCTCTCTCTCCCCGTTTCTCGACCGCCTTTGACTCGTCTATCGCCTCGGGAAACGATAGATGGACGACGATACGGAGAGGATTTCGTCGGGAGAAGAAAAAGCGTATGAATTAGGAGCACTTTGCCGCTCACGGACGTTCCTCGGACGACCATTCAAAAGAATCACTTTACCTTCGTCCGGCACGGTGTAACATCCTGAATACAAAATGAGTACCGTGAAGAAACCGTGGCCACGATCAGGGGTTCCTATTTACGTCAGTCATCCGATGAATTAAGGACTCCGCTATTGCTGCTGCTGCTGCTGTTGTTGTTGTTGTTGCCGCCGCGCCGTTGCCCTCGTCGCCGGTCGACGGAGAGAAATTCGAATACCAGAATGTCGCGACACTCAACCACGCCAGCCAACCAATTCGATTAACGAGGCGACGCAACGGTTAGTGCACGTCGTTAAAACACACGCGTTCACGTTCCATCGCCGCGAGAATCGGACGAGACGAATCGCAACGGAAACAAGCACCGTCGATCGATCGAATTACGAGTTACGGGGTCTGCTCGTAAAGTTACTCACGTGCCCGTGCCTGTCCATGTCGTTGTTGGTCAGCTTGACTTTTTCGAACGAGACGACCTGCTTTCGGAGCTGCTCGCCCGTGAAAGGTGAGTCCGGGTGCACGTAGAGACGAGCGGGCGCCGGTGGATCGGCCTTCCCGGCTACCAGCCACGAGCTCCTGTGATACGCGTACCGATACCTCTTGTTATCCACCGGAACGATGTCCATCAGTACTGCGTATCGGCTGTCCGCCTTCAGCCCGTTGAACGACACTCTGCACGTTGGGAACATTCTCCTGCGAAAGAAACGAACGACTCGACTGAAAATGAGAGGGAGAGAGAAGGGGGCAGGAGGAAAGAGAGAGGCAGGAGAAAGCGCGATACCCATGCGAATGAAATCGGTGGTTGGAAACCGTCCACGCCGATTTCAGGACGTTAACGCGCCAACATCGAAGCGGACACCGAGGTGGTGGCAGGTTCGCGGGTACCAGAAGAACCAGCAGGCAAAGGGAGGGGGCGGGAGGTTCAGAATCAAGGGGGCAGAGGATGAAGCCTGGCGTGAATGTTTTGCCTCGGAGGCCAAACATTAATACCGTGTCGGGCCCCCCGCTGCTCGACCACTAAAACGCGGGGACACCCGCCGATCTTATCTACGTCTTCTCCTCGGTCCTTGTCGACTCGGTATGCATTCATCCCGCCAGCGCCACGAGCGTGAGTAATGCTTTTATTTATCAACCCGTCCTTTGTTAATGAATTGAACTCGCCTCGCGGGA